CACCGGGTGCTGGCTCTGGCACGCTGGGTACCACGTGCCATGCACCAAGAACCGTACACCGGGCACCGCTTGCCAGCATCACGCGCCATGCACCGGGTGCTAGGTGCCGGGAACTGGCATCAGCACTGCCCGGTGCCATGTACCAGGTACTGGGTGCCGCATGCTGTGCACTGCACAAGGCAGCCATGCACCAGGCAGCCAGCACTGTGTGGCACCAGCACTGGTACCAGCACCAGGTATTGTGCATTGGGCATTGCACATGGCCAGCGGGCGCTGGGCACTGTTCACCAGGCACCACGCATCGTGTGCCAGCACCAGCATCGCACCCTGGCACCGGGTACCGCACCCCGCAGACCCTGCACACCCTGCAGTGGCACCAGGCTCGCCAATGGGCCTGCTCTTCAGGGTGCTGCCCCTTCTGGCCTGAGCCCTCCTGCCCTGTCTCCATCCCCTGCCTGTCACGCCCCTGTCCCTGCCTTGTCTCCCTGCAGTACAGGATGATGCTCAGGGAGAGGGAGCTGGGTCCAAGCTGTCCCAGGGCCTCAGCGCTTCCTCCCGGCGCTGCCAGCTGGGACCCCAGATAGGGAGACCTCAGCACGTACGGTGTGGCTGCTGGCAGCCCAACCGGAGGCAGGTTCGGTTTGCCTTCATGCCAGGGAGAGCGTGGCACCAGCTCCTGCCCAACCTGGTGCAGGCCAGGCTGTCCAGCCCACAAGCAGGGCTCTGCTGCGGTGGCAACCGGGGCCACGGGCGCAGGGCATGTCCCTTCTGGCCAGCTTGGCACTGCCACCAGGTCCTGGGGCCACACGTGGGGCAGAGCACTGCTCTGCCTGGGTGTCACTCCTGAGACAGCCAGCACCAAGCCTCTGGCTGGGACATCCCAGCGCTGATCATTAACCACCCTTATCGGGTGGTGGGCTCAAGGTCCCGGACGGGGAGGTTTTGTCCCCAAGTTGGGCAGTCATCTCAGAGCCCCACGAGCGGCTGGTGTCCCCTCGGTCCCGCCTCACCGGGGGACAAGGGATGACCCCAGGCTGGGCTCCCGGCTGGCGCC